TTCCTCTCCAATAAAAGTGAAAAAATTTATATTAACGAAAAAATGAGCTTTTAAACGATCATTCATTTATAAAGGTATTTGTGTGACACACCTTTAATGAAGAATTGAATTTGACTTACATTTGAGGGTCTTTAGGATTACTTGAGCCTTTAAATAATAGTTAAGCGGGTCGATTTACGAGATGATTGAGAATTAATACTAATATAAGTGCTTATTTGATGATGGTGATAATATTAATAGACTAAGCCCCAATTTGATTTCCATTATTTCCTTATTAAAATGAAAAATATGACCGTTATCCATAACATCAGGCCACTAAATTTGAATTTAAGTCTTTTGTGTGGGAACCGTAACGACTATATTTTTCATTTTCATTCTTAAAAAAATGAGATACAAACGGGAGCTAAATATAATAATCTTAAGATCTAAGAATCTTAACTCCCAAGTGTCAATAGGGTAAGTTGGGGAGTATGGCTTATATTTTTTATATGTATAGGCCATAGAAGAGTTAAGAAGCTTGAATTTATTGCAGTGTAACAGAAAAGTAGACAAACATACATGGCTGATCACATCGCATTTACTAAACATAGGAAACATGCTCACATGCCTCAGCTGCAACGTCAAGATTCTTAAGAGGAACTTCAATGAGACTGTGAATTGCATTAAGTGCGTCACATAACCTTAAAATGTTTAGATGACAAGAAAAAAGTCGAGATTATTTAGCTATGGAGGGTGTGTCCATTCTCCGTTGAAGATGCTGACAGAATGCATGATAATTTGCAGCTCTCTCTCTCTTGAAAATTACACTTGTCGGTCCCTGACCAATATTTCTTGTAGCAAATTGTTCTTTAACTTTTCAAAGTAAGCAAGTTGGTCTCTTATCTTCCACTATAATTTCATAATTATTTCTTATTGATGTTAATTGTCTATATTTCTTTTAAATAGGAGACATCCATCAATATCAATTTTAAGAAGCAAGGTTCTGCATCTTGACTTGGACTAAGGGTGACAATGGGCAGGACGAGTGGGTTGGCATTAAAATACTATCCCCAGCCATCAAAAAATTTTGATAGGCAACATGATGACGGGACAGAGATTAAAATATCTCATTTACCACCACATTTGATTATGTATTTTTTAATGTTATTATTTGTATCTTAAAATAAAATTTCGACTGGAAAACATAAAAATAAAAACAAAAAGATTCAAGATGGGTTTGGAGGATGGTGGCAGAGGTCGGAATTTTACCAACCCTAATTGAGCCAGAGTCCAAAAGAATTCAAAGAAGATAAATTTTTATGAGAATAAAAAGTAATTTAACAAATATTTGGTCATTTTTCATTATTAGAGAATGTTAGTGACCAACTTGCTCATTTTTAAAAGATTGAAGACCAATGGTGCAAATTTCCCCCCATATATAATGAATGCATGCGCTCTCACGTGGGATTGTAGAGTTGTAGCTGCTATTTTTGACCAGTGATCCTATACTATATTGCGCAATCCAAGAAAGTAACAAATGTGTTTGACATAAATTATCTGCACTTATCTTTTCCTTATGTCACTCCGGCGTGCATGTACCACTTTAAATTGATAAAGTTGTCACCCGTGACAATGATGGCTCCATGGCCATCTTCGAATAAAAATTATTTGCGAGATTCAAATTTCATAGGTAACATTCTAACTTGAAAAGTGAGAATGATCTTTATCTTATTACACATATGCCCAGATATAGTTGACGAGCACCTGAAAATCTATGGATGAATTTGAAGATTACAAAACATGTCGGCCTCATACCCTAAGCATCCTCCGCACGTTCTCCTTTATAAACATTAAGTAGACATACACTCGACTTAAACAAAATTATCTAAATCTAATGAAACTTTTCATAAATTGCCTTATTTGATCTTTGAAACGTTGTGTTAAATTACAGTGGCAAGTCAACGCAATCATCTAATCTCTTATCATCGATAGTGACTTTCCATGTGAAACAATCGTTAACAGTATTTGCTAATTTTATATTAGTTTATACTTGACGTACTGAAACTGATAACCTCGATCATGATAGAATAATTGCTTATGTTTGACAATAATTTACTTTCATTAATGGCTCAAATTTTTACATTGTGCAAGGTTCAATTAATGTAATTTAATTCAATAAGTTTTAGTTAGTCTTGGAATTGATTATTATTTGTCTCAAACATTCTAAAATTGGATTTTGTGATTAAGATAGATTAAGTTGTCGATTTTCAACATTATACATATCACTTTATTACATAGTTCAAATCGTGAAATTAAGCAAGATAAGTCAAGATTTTGAATAGGGTTCTTTACGAATTTATAAGGATGGCTATGGAATCAAATTTGTCATCATTCAAGAAAGGGTTAATTATTTTCAACATAGCTAGTTGATTTATTAGGAAATTTTGTTTGTATAATGTATTGAAGTAAGTGGGCACACGTTTATAACGTTTCTATATCATTGTGAATCGAGAAAAATTCCAAATGCAAAAATGTATGCTATCTTCGTAAAAATATGTAAAAAGAGAGGGTTTAGCTGACAAGCATGACTCCCTTCTACTTCTATGTATCTCTTTTCTAAACTATTTGTTTTTTTAATCTCAAACAAAGGGTGCTCATGTATGAAGATTGCGAATAGTTCAAGACTTATTCTAAATTGGATTAGTCTACAAGTATAAAATCAATTACTAAAAGTTTGACAGGCTCCCTATTAGTAGGGCGGCTGGCCCCACCACCACTCCACCAACAGAGGGCCACCACTTGTCAAGTTTGTCATTGATTTTGTACATATAGAATAATCCTTCTAAATTTATCCAAATTTATGTCAGTGCTCTGGACTTTCACAAAAATATATGTCAATTCAATATGCAATAAATCGAGTTCGAAATAAACTTAGCTTCTGATAATTACACATACTTGGATCACATGATGAACTAATAGTGATTTCTAATTTGAACGGTTTTTTTCATCGATGACTAGTTATCTGACCTATATAATATTTATTAGATTTTTTTTTTGTCAAATATCGTAAATCAACTTACCAGTTGAATAATAGGTTAAAAATCAATGCTATAGTTTTTTACATTAAAACGTCAAGTCAAACGTAACGTTTGTCTGAGAAAGGATATGGTACGTGGTGGGCTATGAGTCAATGATTTCATTAAACCATATTAATTGATCCTAAATTTAAGGTTAAAAAGTAAATAAAAAACATGGTTAGATGTTGATTAGCCATTATTGGACCTATATAAAAGCGGCGGCCGAAATTATTACGAAGAGCAGTGCATGCACTCGCCTTAAGTAATCAATAGCCCTACACGCAGGATTTTCATTGTACAAATAGAACAATTCTTGTCGATAATCTATTGGTGATGCAATCATGTTAACATCTCCAAATCATGGGATAGCATCATTTTCCATCATAATTGCTTGTTTTGTATATTGCAATTTAATGTCAAAATCAAATTTTAATTTTAACAACATATTTAGCCTCAAGTTGGTCTAAATGGAAATCAATTTTTTAATAAATTTTAATAAAATTTGATGGTTTGTATGATTTGACTTTTTAATTCAATTTTTTAAGTTGAACCAATCAAGTTTAGTTGGGCACATGAATACTTCCCATTTATATATCATTTCTTCCTACCATGGGCGGATTCAACCTTGAGGTTGAACACGAGCTACAATACAAATATACATTAATTTATCTTTAAGAAAAAAACTAAGAAAAATTAGACATTTCAGAATTCAGGCACGGGTTATAGCACAGTCGAGCCCGTGCTGGATCCACCAGTGCTTCCTACCAATTTATAATTTCAGTAACTTGTAGTTACTTCTAAACAAGCACCACTAACATCGAAACATGATCAAATTTCAATTTAACCTTGCATTTCAACAACTTCTAATCAAAATTTAGTTAAACTTTTCATCAAATTTTTTGTCAATTAACCCCATAAATTTGTTGCATCTCGCTGTATTAAAATTATGACATTTTAAGAATTACTTATAAATAATACCATGTAGCATCCTTATTGGTGTTTAACACCAAATTGGAGGTTTCTCTGTATATCTTGGAGACAACCTCATTTTATGATCGAAATAGAGTGTCGCAGCACGGTCCATTACATAACGTGAATATAGATATCTGGTAAGTCCCCGTTTGGTCCCATTATTTTATATTATTATAATTTTTGGAATAGTATTTTTTTGAAAAATACATAATTGAAAAAGAAGAATTTTTTTTTCTATTTACGTGTAATATTCTTTTATGAAAGTTTGTGTGGTGGAAAATAAGAGAAAGAAAAATTATAAAGTAAACTAATGGGGGCCAAGCGGGTATTAAATGTTTGTTGCATAAATGATATAGATTCGATCTTTGTTTTCTTAGTTTGGATTGAGTTTTGATAACACACCAATGATTCGGTGTGATAATACGAGTGCTTGCACATTGTTCTCTAATTCAATATTCCACTCAAGAACAACACAAATCGAAATTGACATTTGTTTCATGAAAGATAAAAGTCTCGAAGAAAGAGATTGAAATTAGATACGCGGCTTTGTACGATCAAGTGGAAAATCTATTCACCAAGCGACTTTCACATTATTGGTTTCATCTTCTAAGGAACAAACTAGAAATTAGAGAGATGCATTCCAGTTTGAGAGGGGGAGTTGATAATTGAAAGCAGGAACATCTTTGTAAAAAAGGTTTTGTAAAGAATATAAAACATAAATACTATATATATATATATTTTATTTTATTTTTAATTTGCTTCATGAAAAATCCATAGAATTTAGTTTATTAAAAGATCAATTTTGTACTCGGAAACAGGGAACGAGATAAAAAATTGCTCGACCTTCTAATTATTTTAAGTGAAAAAATAATTTTTTAAAGAACGTATAATTAAAAATCAAGAAAAGAAATAGAGTTACGTGTAAAATTATTTTATTAAAATGATATGTTATTAAAAATAATTTTTAAATAAGTTGTAAAATTGGTTAAATTATGCCATGTTTGACAACTATTATTTAATTATTATTTTTACATATTCATTTTTAAATATACATTCACATAATAAAATATTTTGCGTAAAATTCAAAATCTTCTCTATTTTTTAATTACACACTTTTCAAAAAATCGTTATTTAAAATTTTGTTTTATCCAAATAACGATCGGTATTCTAAATAAAATCGAACTAAAGTGATTTTCAAGTGGTTCGGCAAAATAGCCCCAAAGGCCTTGCTATCCTTCCTAGGCCATCTCAGTTTCTGAAAGTTTCAAAATTGGCCTCGTAAATCCTCTAAACCTTTCTCTCCAGGAAAAAAGGGGGATTGACAAAAAAAAAAAAAAAAAAAAAAAATTTAAAAAAAAATCTAAATTGAGTTCTGTAGATTTTATATTTTTCGATTATTGAAATAAAAGATGCCCCGGGCTTCATCGAAGAAAGGGTACACAAGTTCCACCGCGTCATACAATTCATCAACTATGGATCTGTTTTGCAATTTTTTACTGGTTGTATTATGATTCTTTCGGCGCTTAAATCTTAAATTCTTTATATTTTATTGATTCTGAACTGAATTTTGTGGTTTTAAGAACTTTTGAACAGTTCCCTTTCGATTTCTCGTTTATGAATATATGTTGGAGGAAAATTTAGTTAAAAATACCTTTTTTTTTTTCTAGTGAAGTGAATTAAACAAAATTAAAATTGACAAATTTGTTAATCCCCATAGGTTTATTTCATGTTCTGGATTTGGAATAGAAATCAAAACTAGTGTTGTGAAGTTTGATTGAGCATTTGAATTATTTTTGTGGATCGTGATTTGTCAGAGGTGCTGGGATCATTGAATGTTTATGAGAAGTAAATCAATTTTGCCTATACTTCCACTTTAATATTTTTAATCCCATCTACCCACCAATATTTTATACGCCATTCAATTGTCTAGAATTTATTTTCTTTTCTATGTAAATTTCATGTTCATAACCAAACACACCATAAATGCAGTAAGTTGAGAATGTATAAATTCGTGGAATTAGTGAACAGTATGTATTGCTTGCGCAAAACTGGTTGGGAAGGACTATCGTAGCGAAGTTAAATCTAATCCATGTGAAATTTATGTTTTCCTCGAATCAATTCCAAGGTGGTCACTGAAGCTACGTATGGCAGTACGGCACTCGGGCAGATTTTTCAAGTTGTAATAAGATTGGTTGTGCAGTGATAAATTCAAATGAGATGGTTAATGAACTTAAGAAATAATTTTCCTCTCGATGTATATTTATCCAGAGCAAAAGAATTAGATTAAACTTATAGGGTGCATGCACAGATTACTTCTTTTCCAATCGAATTTGTAATTCGACAACTACTAGAAAAAACGTGTTCCATAATCTGATAACCTTAGTAATTAATCGTAATTCTACTTATACTAAGAAGTTTCTATTTGTTTCATTATTTTGTATTTCTTCTAAGTAGATTAGCTGTTACTGAACATGCACTGCCTTTTGTTTTCTTTCAGCTTCTGGTAACGCTGCATCCAAAGAGCTGGAACGTATTGATCAACTCTTCTATTCATATGCAAACAATTCCTCTGATATGATCGAGCAAGTTTCTTCCATTTGAATTTACATTACAGTTTGCTTATGTTTTGAACTGGAATTCATGGTTCCTCATCCCAGTATGCTTTGGTTTTTCTATCTTAAGTAAATGGGGATTCAGTCTTTATTTTGGGAAATACCTCAAATTGACCTAAATAAAGGAAGAATTTTCCAAAATAGCCTTTGACTTTTCTAAACATTTTGAACTACCTAAAACACCCTTAAACAAATATTAAAAAACAACCCTTTATCTAATATAAATGTTCTATTTAAGTCCTTAAATAATTAACAAATAATTTTTCTAAAAATTTGTGAGAATTATTAATGACTAATTATAAAATAGAAAAACCCAAATATAAGAGAGGACCATATAATATAAAAAATGTTGTTAAAAATAAAAAAGAAATTAAGTTTGAAAAAGAAATTGATAAGATAGGATATCAAGAACAAATATATGCATCACAAGAAATATTAAAATGTTTCAAAGAAAACTTATTAGAAAATTTTGCTAAAGGAATTGTAAGAACAATAATTATAAAAGATATACAAGATATCATAGATAAATTGGAAAAAAGGAAGAAAAATATTTCAAAATATGATATACCTTTTAGAACAGATATAGATATGATAACAAATATTGATATTATAAATTCTCAGACATTATTAGACTTTGAAGAATTACTTAAAAATTTATAAGAAGGCCAATAAAAAATAGATTACCACAAATATACAAAAAATTAGTCTTTATCTTAAGATTTTATTTACACCTAATAGTAAAATAAAAGATTTTTTGGAATATAAAAATTTTAGATTTTTAGATTCATGATTATTAGATTTTTAGATTATTAGATTTTTGTTCGCTCATAGTAGCACCCGCACAATTGGTATCAGAGCCATAGAGATCATGAGAAAATATATAAAAAAGAAATTACCTAAAAGATATTGAAAATTTAAAAATAAGGAAAAAACTCAAAAGATTATGATTTTAGAAATTATTGAAACTTATAAAAATAGACTAAGATACCAAGTAAAATATAGTTATGACATAGAAGGCTATATAGAGGAAAATAATATAGTTGGAACATATAGTAAAGACATAAAAGAAATATTAGAAATTTTTAGA